CAACCTCTTTCAGTATGGAATATTCTGTTATCTAACACATGAATTTACTGAGGAATTTCCACAGAGGACATTCCATAGGGTTAAGCTATGTTCTTTTGTGATGCTAAAGAAGGAACAATTCCACCAACAATAACACAACACTAGTGTCAAGTAGATGTGATTTTGAATTAACTCCACAACAGTAGAATTAGGCACCACTACCAACCATTTTCAACTTATTGGTACAATTATAAAAGAAGACAACTTCTTTCTCAGGTCAAATGCAGTCCTGTTTATTCCAATCTACATGCACTACTCTTCACCAAACAGCTTCAGTGTTTCATTTAGTACCTCTGACTCTACTATATAATTACATTTTAGAGCAGGAAGAAAAACTTGTATGGGAAAAAAGTATTTATTTTTCTCTTATATAATTTCTAGCCCTTTTCTTAATTCCAATTGTATGTAAATACAGCCAGTACTGACACAGTGTTTATTCATTTATGAAAATCCTTGCAACATCTGAATGTTCTGTGTGAACTTGAATTTGAAATTAATGTACTACCAGGAGAACTTATTTCATCACCATCTTACTTTGTTCTACTGATCTGTTAAATGGTTTGCACCTCTTTTCCTTTCAAAGGCATTATAAAAACCTGACCTCTCATTTTTTCCCTAGGGATACAAATAACTCTGTATGCTTTACACAAATTAACTTTACAAAAAACATACTAAAACAGAATTTGGTTTTTTTTCTTCAGCACCAAAGCAGCAATAATAGAGCAGAACTCAGCACAAATATAACCAAAATTGCAAAAAAAATATTATAATTTATTTTTATAACTTTACCAGCACAATTATTGAAATGTACAAAATTCTTTCAATTATTTTTATATCGGTGACCCTTAGATAATATAGAAACACATTATTTGAGTTACTTTTAAACAAGATAGTCAGTATAAGTGAATGAAAATTGGGATTTTCAATTTCTGTCAACATAAAATTGCACTTGTGGGCCCCAAATTAAGTAACACTAGACTATAGAACACAAAGGATACTAAATTACATCTATTCAGAGTCCTTTAGCTTTCTCCTCTAAGCTGTATTTTGGTACTGTATATTGGGATGATTTTTGTTTTGCTGAAAACTCTAAATTTATAAGAAGTAGGAGTTGGTAGAATTAGGAATGGTTTAGTAATGAGTCAAAAGGAGTATCTTAGAAAGATAAAAGGTTTACAGTTTACCACGCCAGTTTATTAAAGAACATTCATTAAATAGCACTACAGCAGTCATTAGGCAAGTTCCTCAAAAACACTAAGGCATCCTTAAGCATATCAGCCTACTTCAGTTTCTTAGGCATGCAAAGCACCACAACACCTAAAAGTTAGATAAATGCCTTGGAGAATGGAATTCACAAAGCTCCAGACAGTTATTGTAGGCAATAAGAAAAAAGTGCTTGTAATCACAGGGGATTTCTTAAGTGAGGATAAAGGATAAATAGCAACGCTCAACCCCTTGTGTATCACCTGAATATTTAGGAGCATAGTTCCTATCTTTGAAGTCTCTGTTTTTTTCATGAACCATTGGCTAAGTAAGCCAGGACATTATCAGCTGACACAGATTGGGAGGGAAAAAAATATCATGTTGTAGTGTAAGCCATAGCCAGGGCTGTTACAGATCCATATTGACAATCAGGGAACTATAATAATAAATCATTTTAAGAAAACCTTGTTCCCTTAGCTTTGCTGCTCTGTATGACTGCTCAGACTGGGTTTCTCTACACTGTTTCATCTTCTAATATTGTTTTTGAAACTAGATAGGAAACAAGATATATGCAATTTTTCTACTAAGTAGATTAAAGAGCTTCTGTCTTGACTCATCTCTTTGTGAAGTGACTGCCAAGCTTAAATTTTTCAGCCTGCAATTATTAAATCCAGGTCAGTGTCTATCTTTTCTTCCATCACACTTTCCCTACCTCCATTTTCATTGATATTAGAATTGGCAGAGACAGAATTTTCAGAGGACCATCAATGGTAAGTCCATAGGTCTATAACTCTAGTCAAAAAAGTGTGCCAAAATAAAGAGAAAAATAACAGAAAAACAGACTTTTACTCTAAAATTCAAGTACAGGCCAAACAAAAAAAATTACCCTTAAGGAGATTTCTGACTACGCTTCCTCTGATATGGATTTAAAGTTCTCATCAAGCTCTTGTGTCATCAGTCAACCTCTATATTCAAATTAGTGCACTCTCAAGTCCAGTTCCTGAAACCATCCATAGTCATTAGGGTGAAGTTTCACTTCAGTCTTTTCACAGTCAATGCAATCTCAAACACAGCCTATCAGGAATATTTCTTTTATGTTTAAATGACCCATCTGTACCCATTGCCTCTTGTTCTGTCATCAAGAAATGTCTGTCTCTTCTTTCTGCTTCCCTGGTATTTGCACATAAATAAAATATCCCCATGCCTTCACTCCTCCAATCTATATAGTCCATTTTATTATACTCCAATGCTTATGTCAGCATGCTCCAGTCCTTTAATTGTCTTTGTCAGGTCTTGCTGGACTCATTCAAGTATGGAGAGCCAGAACTGTACACAGCATTCTAGATGTGGGCTGACAGATGAGGAGAAGGAGAACTTCCCTCAACCCACTGGCAATTCTCTTCTTGCTGCCGCCCAGGAGATTGATGGCCTTTGTTCCAAGGGTGCTCATGTTTATTTTGTGTCTCCCCAGGACCTCCAAGGCCTTTTCTGCAAAGCTTCTTTTCAGCTGGTCAGCCACCAGCCTCTTCTGGTGTATGGGTTTATTTCTTCCCAGGTGCAGGACTTAGCTGAACTTCACACTGGCCCATTTCTCCAGCCTGCTGAAGCAACTCTAAATAATAGCACAACCATCTGGTACATCTACCACTCCACCCAGTTTTTGCATCTCCTGCAATGCTCATTTGTGACAGGATGGCTGTTAGATGGAAGCTTACAGCTTTTCTCTGGAACCTGCAGCATGCTACAGCCTGCTGTTCTTTCTCTGCTTGGGTTCCCTGTCTGTTCCAGCCCCGCCTCATTTCCTGCTCCAGTTATTTTTTGAGTCCCTGCTCTGCTTCTAGAGTAGACCAGTGCCCCAGGCAGTTGGAATAAATCCAAACAAATATCTCATTTTTAGATAAAATCTCTTGGATTATTTCTGACAATTAGCTTCAGCTATCTAGTGTTGTTTGTAGCATGAAGTTAGTCACCTAGAACAGTGCTTCTGAATGGCAGGAACATTTTAATTTTGACCACAGTATTCTTGAACAGTCAGAATCCTAAGCTAGAATTCCAGTATTAAGTTTTGGACAAAAACCAGAAAACTGTTCAGAATTAAAAATACTCTTGAACTTACAATTAATATATAATATCAATCAGCAGTAAAATTGTTGAAAGTTAATTCCAAAACTAGCAAAATATCCAACTTAACAAGGTTTAATTAGCACAATTATTTCCACATTGAAGACATATGTGTAATTGTGTTGCCAGTCTTTGCATGTGAGCAACAATTCCCTAATCAGTCAACCAAAATAAATGTATTAATGCAGTAATTCCACACTTTCCCAAAATTGGATGGAAGACAACTTTGCTTCATTATTTATTATTTTTAACTAATTATGGTATTATTTGATTAAAGTATTTAAGTAATTTCAATTGCATCAGCAGATTCTGTTCCATACTTGTTTAGATTGTATCAGATTTCTAACAACTATCTGACAAACCTAGAGTCTTTTTAAGTACCTCAGTACCTTTAAAACAGAGTTTTACGAATTTCTCTCACCTGCTCCCTTCACAAAAGCATCTTAGTAACCGAGAAATTACTTATAAATTCTGACAAAGCCAATTCCTTGTCTTCTTTCAAATCCCTCTTTAAAATTCAGAAGCTGTTGCTATTACAATGGCATCCAGCAGTTGAGACTGCTATCAATCACAGTGGGCAGTTATCACCACAGCCTGACATCCAAACCATGATCCTCATTAGATTCCTAAAACCATGTTCATTTCAGCTTCATCCCTGTGTGCTTGCATCACCTGTCTCCTACTCTTTCTAATGTGAACCCTACATCATGACCTGCAGGGAAGGTGTCAGTGCCCATGGTTTGTGTTTGCACCACATCTGACACCAGGGACTGGGGTTTGTAGGCACTAAGGTGATAGGAAAAAAAACTGCAGTAGGTGTAGTGCTAAAAAATTCCTTACAAATGGTAAGGAGTTTAAAATATGGTAATGGAACAAGATTTTCTGATAAATTTCTGAGGAAGATGACTTGGGAAAGAATATGATTGTGAGAAGAATGCTACAACATTTTGACTATTTTGTGTCATTGCATACCTTTGTAACTCCTCATGGGAAGTATAATGACATTAGAATGCCATTTCTAAACCACTGTGCTGTTGTGGCTGGGGTAGAGTTCATTTTCTTCACAATGGCTGGCATGGAGCTGTGTTTTGGATTTGCACTGCAATCAGTGTTGATAATAGAGAGACATTTTTGTTATTGCTAAACAGAGCTTGCACAGAGACAAGGCCTTTCCTGCTCTTCACACCACCCCATCTGTGAGTGGTCTGAGGATGCACAGGAAGCTGGAAGGGGGCACAGCCAGGACAGCCAGCCCCAGGTGACCCAAGCAATACCCCAGACCATATGGCATCATGCTCAGCATATAAAGTTGGGGGGAAAAGATGGAAGGGGGAATGTTTGGAGTGATGACATCCCAAGTCACGGCTACACTTGATGGAGCCCTACTTTCCTGGAGATGGCTGAGCACCTGCATGTCCATGGGAAGTGGCTTTGCTTTGCTTGTGAACATAGCTTTTTTATTACTTATCAAAATGTCTTTAACTCAGCCTATGAATTTTCTTACTTTTATCTTCTCAATTCACTTCCCCATTCCATTGGGAGGGGGAGTGAGGAAGCTGCTGCCTGGAGCTTGGTTGCAGGCTGGGGTTAAACAACAACAACCACAAAATCCATCAAAGAACCACAGCTGTGAGCCACACTTTTCACAAGATATGTTCCAAAGCATTTTAATTTCAATGGAAAATTTAATTCTAATTCCTTGTATAAATACTGCAAAACCTTATCTTTTTAACAATAGAGGTAATGAATACCTGTATATACCACAGCAGAAAATATATCACTGCTGTTTGCTATTACATAATCAGATTTAGGCAAAAAGATTTCCTGAAAAAAAAAAAAAACCTGCATGACAAATATTCTGTCTTTGTTCAGCAACCCTTTCCCTGTGAGTCTATTCCTTTTCTTGTATTCCTTACATTTGGCAGCCTTGACATGCTTCAGAGTCGTTGTGGCTTTGTTGTCGTAGTTGTTAATCTATAATATATAAATTACTGTTATCTTTATTATCACTGGTTTCATTATTGTAAGTATTTTAAGGCAGACAGCTCCATACTCCAGTGGCATGTGTGTGGTAAAATCCTGAAATCAACAAGACATCACAGAGGTGAACCACAGCGGCCTCAAGAGGTAACAGTACAGATTTAGATGTTATGTAAGCAAAAGTAACAAATACACTGGGAAGGGCAAGCATTTCTTTAGGAGTATGTCATTATACTCAAAGAATATCACTACCTCTGGTTCAATCAAATTTTTTTCTTAAATATAAAATAAATTCTTCTGTGTTGCTTCCAAGAAATAGCATGCATTATCACAAAGGAATGCTGTGAAAAGTGTTAGCTCAAAACATTAAGAATGGAAGAGTTTTCTGAATTTGGCTATAAATTATATACTTGAAATCCAGAATGCAATTTTTTACAGGGAATGAAAAAATAAAATACTGCTATTCTCCTCTACTTTGAGTTGCTTTTCAACTCATTTCATTGAACTTTAACTGTTGTGGTCATGTGGTCTTTACTTGTACTTTCAACAATGTCTAAACGTATCACTGTTAAAAATACTATTTGAGTGTCATGTGGCTTTGCTGATTTCTCATAATTCAAGACAAGCAGTACATAATTTTGTTTCTTACCCATGTTGGATGAGATTGAACAGCCCTCTCAAGCAATCTTGAGCCTCTTTGTTTTTTCACTGTAGTTATTTTCCTCAGCTTTCTGTTACTTGGCACCAATGACTTAAATCCTCCAGAGGAATTCAACTATTTCAAGTAGCTTGAGTGCCACTTCTTTGAATAAGGATTTGTGCGATAAATCCAGGCCAAGTAAAAAATTTGTTTGACTTTAACAATGTTACTCACTAAGAACAGCTGGTCCTTTACTACATACTCATTCAGTAGGGAATACAGCAGTTGTATGCTTATCTGATCTTTCTGACGTACTCCCTTGGATAAAGAAGTTTATTAAATGACAGTAAACAAATTTTTGTCTGATGTCTCTGTTCTCGAATGGCCTTAGTCCACAAGGGACAAGCATTCTCTGCCAGCTGCATCTGCAACTCCTACTCTCAACATGAACACAGGGCACTTGCCACTTCCATTCCCAACTTCTGTTTAGGAGTCAACACTACAGTTTTTTAGGCTGTAATTTTCAAAATCAGGTTAGATTTTACAGCATTTCAAAATGAGTCTTCATATTCTTTCATAATTTCCCAAATTCATACATGAGTCTTTGTACCACTGATATTTTTATGTTCCTTTTCACTTCCTGTTCAGACTGCTGAGTTTGGGGATTCTGAGCAAGAGTCCTCTTGGTGTCGTCTCACATATTTTCTGGGCAAAAATTGTCCCACTCAAAGCAAGAACCCTGTCAATACGAGATCAAGTCCTAAGCTGCAACAGGAAGAGCACTGCCAGCTGCTCAAGACATGTCCTTCTTCCCCTTCCCTCAGCCCCTCTGAGACTCATCTGTGTTGCTGCGTTCAGTTCTGGATTCTTCAGTACAAGCAAGACACAGATGTGCTGAAATTACTTCTGTGCAGGTCATCATGAAAAGGATTAAAGGACTGAAGCACTTCTCCCACAGTGAGAGGCTGGAACTATTCAGCCTGGGGATCAGAAGGCTCATGGAAGCTCTTAACATTAAATATGAATACCTGAGGGAGGAAGACAGTAAAGAATATGGAGCCACACTCTTCTCAGTGGAGTTCAAAGGAAAGACAAGGAGCAATGGACATAAAGAGGATTTCCACTATCTTCTCAGTGAAGAATATTTCCCTAGTACCCAGTGTGAACCTTCAAACTGCCATTTGTGATCCCTGACTGTTTTTACACTCACTGGTTGGTAAGCCTCTAGGGAACCTTCCAAGAGCCATCCTGGAAACTCAGTCACCATTTAAGTATTTCAACCCAGCTGAACCCAGCCCATATGCATTTGGTTAAATTACAGGGAATGATTTCCACCTTTCCACACCAGTTCCCCCTCTGTAGCATCATTTCTGAGTCACCCAAGGGCATGCTGTAGTCATCTTGCTGATGCTAATGGTTACACTTAGCTTACTCAACAAGTTTGGAGCAAGACTGTTAGTGTGATTATATGTAGGTCTGTGTGTTACTGGAACACTGCACCACATTTCCAGCCATTTGGCAAGTTCTTCTTAGAACTCCTAGTCTAAAGAGCAGTTGCAGAAGCAAACAAATTGTCCTGACCACAGACTTCTCCATGTAAAAACTCTGATGAAACTGTTATCAAGATTAAAGAACTGTCTGGCAATCTTGTCAATTATGCAATATTTCTTTCCTCCAGAAAATGTCATCAAACATTCCCTCATGTTCTTTGTCAACATCACACACAGACTTTGATCAGAATATAGAAGGTATAAAACACAGATGGGCTAAGACAGTGTCATCAGAGTATTTTTATTCTCTGGAAAAAACCCTGACACACTTCAGCAGCCACAAAAGTGTTATTCTTCCTCCCCCAGCTCCTAGAAGAGTTGAAGCATATAGACACTATTCTAAATCTCTGGAGCTAGCCAAACCTGCACAACTTTACATTCTTGTCAGTGACATCATGCCCATTCTGCATGTGCCAAGAGAAATGATCTAATTTTGAATAAACTCCTGATTCCTGTGGTGTTTCTGACCTTCAGCCTCAGACTTCTTACAAAGCACATCTCATAAATACCAGTTCAAAGCAGTGAGCATGCAGTTGGTAACATCTGGGTGTCATGGTTTGCAGGACGGCCATGCAATTTGCTTTCCAGTAACCATTCTAATATAAGTGGTACTTTGAGTGACGTGGAAGTCATGCCTTAGGGTAGGCATGAAAAAAAAGATTTTACTAGCATTTGAATCTATTTCCACTTTGTCAGCACCCACATAAAATCAGTTTTCCATTTTTATTCACAGACAGGCACCTAATAGTACTCAGGATGCAGACTAAAGAGGGGATTGCTTGTCCAGAGATTCCTAAAAGCATCTGTGCAGAACAGCTTACCAGGTACTTATTTAATAGCCAGGTTCACACTTTGGCTGGCTTTTCATCTCATCTTCTGAGAATGAGTAGGCAGGAGCTGAGCTCTTGCGTGTTTTATGAAAAGGCTAAGGATTACCTTAAGGATATTCTATCCTTAAGATAGTATATTCTGCTCTTAAGACAGGATATCCAGATGCTGCAATCTCTCAGCATCTTGAGCTATGCTGTATAAATGTACTTCCCATAACACTAGCTTACCCCAGGGCTTCTTTGAGGACAAAGAGGACTGCTTTGCCAAGTAGTTCACTAGGAACATGCTTTTAACCCTCTGGACTGCAAAGTTTCCTTAGCCGGGGTTTGGAACCGCCCGGCACACCTTGCCACAGGCAACCTCCTCCCCTGCGCTCCCACCGCCAGGCGTCACCCTGCTGATGGGAACAGGGAAAATCCCAAACCGACCGTGCAACAAAAGGAGCAGGGAGGGAAATCAAATGGCACTTGCACAAAGTGATAGCATATCAAAGTTAGCATCCATTGCAAAAAAAGGAGCTAATGGAAAACACGTGGGAAATAGCCTTCATGCAAAGCACAGAAAAACATGCTCATGAAAGTAACTAAAAAAGTTTAAAAGTTAAGGTTATAACACAGGAGATACAATTATTCTGTCTTCTATTCCTTCTAAAGGCAGTGTCCTCGTTTCTTCCAGATGTAGCATTCAGGTGGAGTCTACGTCCATTTCTCCACTGAAAAGGAGAAAAACAATCTACGCCCCTCCCAAGATAAAGACATGCAACTTGGCATCAATGCTGTGAAGACATCCTGAGGAGGATACAATGAGCTCTACATGAAAACATTCCTGACACGTTCTTCAACGCCAGGAAGCCACTAGATGTGAAAATATGCACTAAAACAGAGATTTCACAAGATAATGATAGTTCACACTACCGTGTGACTAAAATTTCAGGAGACAGCTACCTTTTCAAAATCGCCAACACAGGTTAAAAAAAAATAAATAAATTAAAAAAAATAATAATTACAGGATCATGGTATTTGGGGGGGGGG